AAATCTTATTCAGGCACGAGCATAGAGAATGGATTAGAGACAAGTGAAACTGATCAGTACACAAACAGTTAAGAGAAAATGGAGAAAGAGTCAAAAATAAAACTAAGAAAACAAAAATAAAGCAGAAAGGGGAGAAAAATAAGAATGGTACCACAAATGCCCAAAGTGGAGGGAGTGGTAAATAGTGCTTCTAATCATTATGTGACAAATATTAGAAAGTATTCTCATTCCCATTTAACAAGGGCATTGTAGGCTTCTAACTGAACTGTACATGTGTCAATTCATGTCTTTTTAAACAGTGAAATAAACTAAGATCAACCAGTGTGCCATCTATAAAAATTCCAGAATTCAAAAAAATTGGAAACAAAAAACAAAGACTATGAAATGACATTTCTAGGAAAGGCTTTAGGTTTCAACTTATTTGTGTTCCTTTTTTTTGCCACTAAATCCTTTCTTCAGATGAAATCTTACTTGAAACCCAACATGTGTACGGGATCTGGAATGCCAATCGCCCCATTCCCTAACCCTCACCTTGACTGGCTCCTAATGCACTCTGAAGGGTCTATGGAGCTCTGCTCTGGTGATCCTTCATCAATTAAAATTGATATTTTATATTGTGAATTCTACGAGCTCTAGGGCCTTTTCCGTTTTGTTTACCACTTTATTCCCAACACCTAACACAGCACCTGACACAAAGTTGGTACCTGGTGAATATTTATTGAATGAATGAGTGAAAGAATATCAGACAGAGAAAATTAAGTGACTTGGACTAAGTCACACAGCATTGATGAGGCTGAGATTTAGTACATAGTAAGTGACTGGGTAGTGGGTGGCATTACCAGGATAGGAGATAAAGGAGGGGAAGTATGGGGAAAAGGATGCTGAGATCCGTTTTGGATTTGACAGTTTGAGGTACTTGAGGGGCATCCAAGTAGAAGCATCAACAGACAACGAGCTAGTCAGTCTACTCACCTTAGACTCAACGGTCTGGCACTTCAGCTCCTCTTGGAAAAGGCTTTCATTCTTTTTACTTTCCAGCACTATACCAGTCCTGGGATGTTGCCAATTCTCACATGGCCACTAGGGCAGAGTTTCTTAAACTTTCAAGTGCACGCAAATCACATGGGGAATCTTGTTAAAATGCAGATTCTGATTCAGAAAGTAGCGCCTGAACTTCTGCATTTTTAACAAGTTTCCACCCGGTGCCTAAGCTGCTCATCCAGCACATTTTGAGTAGCAAGACACTGGAAATCAGTGCAAACGGCAGTAAGAGTTAGTTAGCAGCTGGTTTTTTCTTTTTGTAAAATTTCACAATCTTTATAATAAGTAGAGACTGGCGAACTTGTAAAATTCTATTTGTTTTTAAACAAATTTCTTCTTATAAATGTTTTTGCATTTTAAAGAATATATTTAGGTTTTTTACTTGTTTGCTTGCTTTGAAATGTAATATGGCTTTTAATTAATAATTTAATTCAAGACAAACTCTCGATTTTAATAGTGATCCTATAAACTATTTATTCTTTCAAGAAGTTATTTTAGCTTTTAGCCCTAAGGGAAAGACTTCAGGCTAAGTTTAGCAGCTGTTAGAAATAATGCAGCAGAGAGGCAGGCTCTGGAAGTAGGTAAATTCAAGACATTTTGAAACATTCAAGCGCTTAGAAAAAGTATCAGTTGCAAAATAGCAACCTAGTTAAAGCTAGGCAGAGGTATAGCTATTCTTGTCCTGAAGCACAGAGACCATCTCCACCCCCAAAACAAAGAGATTTTTATTGGAAACCAGTAGCATTTCTTAGGAATCATTAGATTCATTTAAATTGAAGGAATAACTTAGGTATCATCTGTACCTTTGTCTGTAATCATTTCTCCTTTACCCTGATTATTTCATAAAGCTTTATTGTTTTCTCTTTTTTTTTTCATTCTTCCATTCGAAAAAATTTTTAGGATTTGTTACGGTTCTGGACACTGAGAGACAGCTGTGAGTTAGACAAAGATCTTGGGCTCATGAGACTTAATTTTATGGGAAAACAGAGACAATAAAGAAGTAAATAAATATAATTTCATGTGAAGATATGTACAGTCATGTGTTGCTTAACAATGGTGATATGTTCTAAGAAATGAGTCATTAGGCGATTTTGTCATGTGAACATCATAGAGTATACTTACACAAACCTAGATGGTGTAGCCTACTACACACCTAGGCTATATGGTACTAATCTTATGGGACCACCTTCGTATACACCGGCTATTGCTGACCAAAACTTCGTTATGTGGTGCATGACTATACGATAAAAAAAAAAAAGAGGAATGAGATAGAGAGTGACTGGTATTAGGGGATACTCTTAGATTGGGTGGTCTGGAAAGTTCTATCTTGGGTGTTATATCTGAGTACAGACATGAGTAAAATAAGGAAATGAACCATATTAATTTGAAAAGAAGAGAGAACAACAAAGTGAAAATGCCATATGTAAAGAATGCACTTGGTGTGTTGAAGAGAGATCACGAAGACCAGTGAGATGAATGGCCGGAGGGAAGGGAAAGTAGTAGGAGATGGATATGTGGGCAGCCAGATCAGGCAGAGCTTTGAAAACCAAAGCCGGGAGTCTGGATTTTATTCTAAGCGTGATTGCAAATATTTAGGGTTTTAATCAGTAAATTACATGATCTTATTTATTCTTCCTTATGAAGTTCTCCTATTTTCTCAGATTAACAAATTCATGGTTCTCTTTAAAGGCCCAGCTCAAATGTCATACTCGTTGTAAAACTTGCCTTAACTTTCCCAGTACTCTCTCTCTTTAGTGTTCCCATTTGCACATCCCTCTTCTATAGTACATGCTTCTACTATCAAACATTTCTCTACTCAAGTACTTATCACATGTTTCCAACTTGTCTTTCTTCTAAACTGTTAGCTCCCTAAGGGCAAGGACTGTGTTCTGTTCACTTTCCTGTATGCCCAGTTCACAGGCATACCATTAAAGTAATGGATGAATTCAATCATTACCCTACAATAAGGAATGTGCTCTTTGAAGATAAAAATTAATGCCTCCCTTCTTGTGATGCCAGATAAGTCTCCCTTCCCGCAGCACCAGCATCATGTCAACCGAGTACATGCTAATCTAAAAAAAAATATTTTCTTGATACCTTGAATCATATCCCTGTCATGCTTGATGTATGTTCCTTGTTCTGAAATGGTACATAAACTGTGCCAAAAACCATGCTTCTCCAGAGCATTTTCTTCCTTGGTGAAGGCTAGGTCTTAACCCAGGCTAGTCCTCAGCTTGGCTCAAATAGAACTCTCTTCTATTTCTTACTAAAGATTGATTATTGATTATTTGCATTGACAAACTCAACATTATAAACTCGTTATCTTGTTCCAACTTCTCCATATTTACTGGTAATACCAGCTTCTTTCTAGTTTCCTTGGTTAGAAATTTTAGAGTACTTTAACTCTTCTTCTGATGTTGGGGATTTCCTTTACTCTATTTCACTGATTCTAGCCCTGGTTCAGACTTTCATCACTTGATTCCTGGAAAAACGCAACGGACTTTTGGCTGGCTGGAGGGTCATTCTGACTCAAATTTCTTCTCTTCTCAAATTCATACTGCACATCTCTGCAAGATCAATGTCACTAAAATATCACTTTATTCATCATTTCATGCGTTGTGCTACTTATCAAGTATCTTTGCACACAATGTGTATGACACGTCATTCTCTTGTATAAAACCTTAATTAAAGTTCACATGAACTAAATGAGATAATATTTTTATCTCCATTTTACAGATAAGGAAAACGAGATTTAGGTATGTTAGGCTGTCTGCCCAAACTCACCGTTACACCAACAAAGAAATGGTAGAGCTGAGATTAGGACACAGGTCTTTTTAGCTGGGAACACTGAGCTCTGCTTAATCATTGCATTAGCGAGTAGTGTCTCAAGTTTAAATTCCTGCTTCTCTTTGGAGAATTTCCATGATACAGCCCATCAGTCTTACTTAACTTCTAACTACTGCTGAACCTGCATCTTCTACTCCACATTTCAAACATCTTTCTAGTTCTCTCCTGTGCGTTGACCTTTTTACTTCAATTAGATCGTAAGATCCTTAAAACCAGAGATTATGTGTTACTCTTGTCTTAAACTTCTATGAAGGTCTACTATTGTGGAGGGCTCACAATAAATTCGAAGTGAATAACTGATAAAATCTTTAGTACAGCCCTTGGTACATATATATGCTTAATAAAATGGTAACAATGAATATTATTTATTATTACTCGAGGGGCTGATGGGAGTAATAATAAATAAATTGAAGCTCTAATAGAAAACCAGAAAATTGACCCCTACCTTAATCCTAAGAACTTTTTGCTTGCCTTCCTTATGATCTAGAGCAATGGTTTCTCAGGCTAAGTTAGTACATTTTAGTCTCATCCCACCCTTTCTATGAAGCAGCATCAACTGCAATATAGGTATCACCGTAACATCAACAAGCAGCAACACTCTGTCCACCGCTACTGCTCTCTTTGAGAGTGCTTTGGAGGGAAAAAAATGGAACAGTAGTAGTAATTTTTTTGAGACGAATGGTCAACGTACTTTCTATCGATGAATTTAATTTCATTTAACTTTAAAGAAGTTTGCTAGCAGTGTCTGTTTTCAAGACTTCCTGGCTCAAGTTTCGGATGGACAGCGCCTCGCACAATCAGGCATCTCCCCAGTCCTACAATCTCTCCTTCACATCTTCTCATCGAACGAAATTTGCACAGATCCAGCAATAGGAAAGTCTAGCCTTCTGCCCTTGCAGTGTGAGCAGAAGTCCCGACGATGCAGTGAAAACGGCGGGTTTAGGGCCGCGGGAGAGCTAGTTTCCACAGGTCCTGCGACTCCGCCCCGCCCCAGTGAGCGCAGTCGCGTCACGTTACGTCATACGCTCTCCCGGAAGTGCCGCAAAGTAAACGGCGGGGGCGTGTCTGCAGACATCTTCGCGTGTAGTTACCAGAGAAACGCGGGAAGTCGGGCCCAGGCGCGGTTACCTCTGCCGCCAAGGTTGTTTGATCTTTTCGTGAGCGAGCTGCTAGCCCGTCCGAGGGTCCAGAACGGGAGCCTGACCGAGTGTCTGGCGCGACGCCATGGAAGTAGTGGAGGCCGCCGCTGCTCAGCTGGAAACTCTGAAATTCCACGGCGCCGGCTTTGGGGTGGGCCAAGGTCAGGAGGTGCCGTCTCCTGGCCCTATTCCTATCCCGGAGCCACGGCAGCCACTACAGTCGGAGGAGGGGTCCCCGGACACTGGGCAGGCCGCGGAGGCTCAGCCTGCCGGGGGGCAGCCGCCTCCGCTCGCGCCGAGCCTTGCGGCCGGCGGGAACCTCGCGCCGCAGTCGCAGCCGGAACCTCCACCCGGAGGGAACTGCGTCACCGGCCCGGGCGCTGCGGAGCTGGCGCGGACCCCAGACTCCCCGGAGACCTCGGACTCGGATTCGGACTCGGACAGGTCGGGTGCTTGCCGGTCCCGGAGCTGTGGGTAGAGGGCCTGTGTAACCGGCGGGGGGAGCCGGGGCCTGGGGCGGAGAGGGTGTCCGCGTGGGCTCCGAAGGGAGGGGAGGTCGCTGAAGCTGAGGGCGCACGTGTTTACACGCACATCGGACCGCCCACTCTTCGCTGTTCGCGGCAGATCGCGTTGTGAATCTGAGCTCAATAGTCAGATCTCGCTTCTTCCCTAAATTTAGTAATCTGGAAAGTCCTCTGTGTAGATCGTATCATTTTCAGTTGGAATACGGAAAACCTGAGGATATTGGATTATTTTCAGAACTACTCAGTTTGGCGTGTCCCTTTGTGGTTAGAGTTTTGTGTCAGATCCGACTTGTTTTCCCCATCAAGTTTAGTGAACCAGGTGAATTGACGATGAGTTAAAGGATATTCTGTGTTTCCAAATTGGCTCCTGAAAATTTTGTTAATTCGTAGACTCCTTCTGGGGAGCACGTGTTCGTGAAATTAGCGAACCATTGTTACTTAGTAGTAGTGTATGTTCTGCATAGGTTTTATAAGAGCTCCCCACCCCCGTCCTGTGTCTTAAATATGAAACCTCTGGTGGGAAGGGACTGCAGCATGTAGGATGTTACTAAACCATACTGAACACTGTATACAAGTATTTGAGTGTGTTGTGTGGGATACTGAACAGGTGAACAAAACAGGACCTCTGCCCTACATTCTAGTGAGATCTACGAAAAATAAGAGTGAACATATCAATCAGTAAATTAGAGTTGGTGACAATTACCATGAAGGAACAAGCAAGGCACTGAGAAAGTAATAGGAAAGCCCAATCCTGTAGGCCCTTGCAGCCTTGTTAATGTTTTAATTCTAAGTGCTAGAGAAACTGTTGAATTTGAAGCAGAGAAATGGCATATTCAGGTTAACATTCTAATAAGCTTTGCTCTGTAGAGAAGGAATTGAACTGGATTGAAGAGGGAAAGCAGAGAAGCAAGAATGGAACAGGGGCTACTCTGGAAACAGTTGCAAAGGTATTGCATTAGCCCATGATGTGACCATGGTTGTCTGGATTAAAAATTTTGAAGTCACCCTGATCAGGCTTGCTAATAGACGTGGCAGTGGGCTAGACAGAGACATCAGTTGAGTGGATGGTGGTGCTGTTTCCTGAGACAAGGAGTAATTTTTCTCGGATGGGAGCTGGAGACCAATAGGAATGTTAAATATGGACCGTTAGTTTGAGATTTCTCTAACAGCCAATTGGTGATGTCAGGTAGGCAGTAGGGTAATGAGTTTAGACTTCAGAGGGCAATTCTGAACTGGAGAAGTAAATTTGAGCATTGTCAGATTACAAATAAAACTTACTCTAACTTTTTGTTATGGATGTTTTCAAACTTGTAAAAAGTAGAGAGAGTAATATAATGAATGTGTGTATACTCATCACCAAACTTAACAGTTTCCAATATTTTGCTGATCTTGTTTTATTTAACTTTTCTTTTTTTTTAATGTGATAGTTTTAAAACATCTCAGACAATATGCCACTTTACCTGTAAATTTTTTACTATGCATTTCTAACAGATAAAATACTTTTTACATAACCACCATATCATTATCAACCATAGTAGAATTAATCCTAATTCTTTAATATTTCCTAATAGTCTGTATTCGGATTTTTCTGGTTGTTTGAAGGGTGTCATTTAACAGTTGGTTTATTTGAATTAGAATTCAAACAAGATTCAAACAGTGCATTTGGCAGTTACATCATTTAAGTCTCTTTTAAGTCAACGTTGGATTTAAAGCTTCAAAGGCAGAAGTTACATGAGGGTGGAATACCACTGTAACATAGTGGATGCCAAAAATTGAAGTTGCTTTTTTTTTTTGGTGAGGAAGATCAGCCTTGAGCTAACATCTGTTGTCAGTCCTCCTCTTTTTGCCTAGGAAGACCAGCCCTGGGCTAACATCCGTGCCCATCTTCCTCTACTTTATATGTGGGATGCTGCCACAGCATGGCTTGATAAGCGGTGCGTAGGTCTGTGCCTGGGATCCGAACTTGCGAACCCCGGGCTGCCAAAGCAGCACGTGAACTTAACCACTTTGCCACCGGGCTGGCCCCCCAAAAATGAAAGTTTTTTTGATCAAGTGATTGGGGAATCATGTCCGATGTTGCTGAGAAGTAAGATGACAGAAAGGTGTCTGCTGGACTTAGCAACATGGCGATTGTTGCTGAACTTGTGAAGGGCAGATGGTGATGGAAGCCCATTTAGGGCTAGAGATTGAGTGAGAAATAAAGGGGAGAGACAGCATGTGTTAACAACTCTTTCAGGAAATGTTAAGGGGAGAAATGAGGCCATAGCTGGAGGGATTTAACAGAGGCACTGCAGAATTTTGGTATGCTGATGGGAATGATCTGGGGCAGGGGGAGAGATTCATAGTACAGTAATATTAGGAAGCAGTTCACTTGGAAATGGGATGGGTTCCTGAGCCCAAGTGGTGAAATTGGCCTTTGCTCATTTTCCTGTGAAACAAGAGGAAAGATAATACTTGCCAGAGCTAATATCTTGATTTCAGATACTTCATAATCTAGCTGGGAAGACATGTTTTTCAGTGAATTATGGTATAGTATGGGACAGTAGTATAGTGTAGAATTATGGAAAAAGTTTTGTTTTTTTTTGTGAGAAAGATGGGCCCTGAGCTAACATCTGATGCCAATCCTCCTCTTTTTTGCTGAGGAAGATTGGCCCTGGGCTAACATCTGTGCCCATCTTCCTCTACTTTATATGGGACGCCACCACAGCATGGCTTGACAAGCGGTGCGTTGGTGTGCGCCCGGGATCCAAACCTGTGAACCCTGGGCCGCCAAAGCGGAGCACACACGCTTAACCGCCATGCCACCAGGCAGGCCCTTGGAAAAAGTTTTTAAGGTTTTCTCTGTGTTTTAATATTTTCTTGATAAAAAATGGAAAGAATAGTGTAAACCCATGTAGCCATTACCTTGATTTTAACAGTTGTTAACATTTCAAAACTGTTAGTTTCACGTGTATGTGTTATTGAGCCATTTTAAAGTCATTTACAGACATCATAATACTTTATCCCTAAATATTTCAGCATGCATTTGCTAAGAGGACATTCTCTTACGTAATCACAGTGCTGTTATCACATGTAACAAAATTAATACTTCCCTTATGTCCAGTCATGGATAGTTTTTTAAAATCAAGTATGTGAACTGATTAGGATGGAAGGTCATGAGAGGGTGAAGGTAACAGCAGTAGGATAAAGGGGTGCTTGTTGTGGGGAGAGACTAGTATTGATATCAGTTGTACAGTTATTACAGAAAAGCAGGTGAGAAGTGAGGACTCAAAATAGGCTCATAGCAGCAGTGGAAATGGGATGGAGAAGCGGCATAGGAGTGATGTTTACCAATCTGAAGATAGAATTTTATCACTGACTGTGAGAATGCAGTAGCTCCAAATGATTCCAAGGCTTCTACCTATAGTGACTGGTTTGAAGCCTAAGCAATAAAATAAAATAGAAGGTCAGGGAGAGAAGCAGGTTCAGTAAGGAGAAGGCTCTTTTTTTCTCTTTTAACTTGCTGCAAGTGTAAAGTATATGTAGATCATTCATACAGAGGTTGCTAGTATGCAGCCAGAGGTCAGAGCTGGAGCTTAGAGAGATTAAGGTGTAGGAGTCACCTGCACGTGGATGGTGATTGAACTCATTGGAGTGGATGAGATTATCCATGGAAAGAGTACAGAGACAGAGGAGAAAGTGAGGCTGGAACTCCTAGAAACAGTACATAAAAGGGGCTGAAGAGAGTAGTCAGCAAACAAAATTTAAACTAAGAGGAGAGTTACTGGTAATAAGAATTGCTGTGGAAGTCAAGGGCTAAAGGAGCAGAGAGTGGAGTGGTCAACATGGTTGGTAACTTGGAGGAGTTTCCAAGTTGTCTGAAGACTGAGAAGAAACTCTTTATTGGCAATAAGTGATCTGGTCCTTGGTGGCTAATAAGAGAGGTGCCTTGCTCAGAACTCTCTTCTGTCAGTGATTTGTCACATGCTTAATTATATTCAGACAGATGATTGACATATGAGACTAGTGTAATAAGAGGGTTTGGGGTATAGCAGGGGTTTTGAAAATGTTATCAATGGATTAAAGACTGCTTTCCAATACCGTAGTCAACTTTGAAATGCTGGCTTTTGAATTATACCAGCAACAGTAAACATGTAGTAAAGTACATATTTCCTAGTTGAATAATCTTATTTTAATACCATTGCAATAATGCTTTACTAAGTTTTCGACTTTTTCTTACCTACAGTGAAACAGATTCCGATAGTTCAAGCTCCTCCTCTTCCTCATCATCTTCCTCAACATCTTCCTCTTCCTCTCATATATCACTTCCTCCAGTGCTGTCAGATGGAGAAGATGATTTACAAGCTGAGAAGGAAAATAAGAATTTTCCTCTTAAAACAAAAGATGAGTTACTTCTTAACGTAAGTACTTAGATTTGTTACTAAACTTAATTTGCTTGTTCTAAGATATGTTATGGTACTAATATTGATCTCATTTGGCCTACATCTGCTCCATAAATTTGAAGACTATTCTCGACTTTTTATTGGACATACTTTTGCCATGCCTTGTCTTTCTTAAGTAGAAGAGAGGATTGTCTGAATAATTTCTAAGGTTGCTTCTAACTCTAACATTTGATAGTTGTTCTTGCTGAGACATCAAATTTAGCTTGCTGCCTTCTGTTTTTTAGTTTTCCTAAAGATTGTATAAAGATTTACAACTTTTATTTTGGCCCACAAGTCGGAAAATTTTGCTCAATAACAATTGAAATCTTTTTTTTTTTTTGTGGGGAAGATCAGCCCTGAGCTAACATCTGATGCCAGTCCTCCTCTTTTTGCTGAGGAAGATTGGCCCTGGGCTGACATCTGTGCCCATCTTCCTCTACTTTATGTGGGACTCTGCCACAGCATGGCTTGACAAGCAGTGTGTCGGTGCGCGCCCAGGATCTGAACCTGCAAACCCTCGGCTGCTAAAGTGGAGCGTGCGCACTTAACTGCTGCGCCACTGGGCCGGCCCTGGAATCTTTTTGTTTTAATTGATTACATTTAGAGAAATAGAAAGTGAAATTAGATGGGTTGAGCTTTTTAGGATTCCTGTTTACTTGAAGTGTTTGGAGTATTTTTATTATGACATTTGGAGAAAACTTCTTTATTGTAGAATGTTATTTATTGGGACTTGATAGGTTTGGTTTGTAAAGTTAACTCTTGTGTGGTTATTTCCTCTTAAGCTATCCCTAGGAGGATGATGGTAGTCTGGTTGAAACCTCGTGACCTGAGAGGAAAGTCTTAGAATTTCAGAATATAGTTTATATTGCCACATGTTTATTCTCCCTGCTCCCACATGTACTTTAGTTGTTGTTAATGCTTTTTAAAAATGTAATGATCACTAATTACAATTACACTTAAATCAATGAAATAGTTTTTGTTTTTGTTTTTTTTTTGATGAGGAAGATGGTCCCTGAGCTAACGTCTGTGCCAGTCTTCCTCTATTTTGTATGTGGGACACTGCCACAGCACAGCTTGATGAGCGGTGTGTATGTAGGTCCATGCCCTGGATCTGAATACGTGAACCCTGGGCCACCAAAGCAGAGCGGGCGAGCTTAACCACTATGCCACCAGGCCAGCCCGTCAATGAAATAGTTTAATGCAAAGTTTGAAAAAAATTTTAAAAGCCTAGACTAGTTGGGCACTTTTTCACCAATTTCTACCAATATTATTTCTTTTTCTCTGCCCTACTTGTAATAAGAAATTTCCTGTCTCACTTATGCTTCATGTATTGAAAACTCTTGGATTTTTATGCAGCTTCATCAGTGATTCATGTTTTCATGCTACAGACATTGATATCTCTCAGTGGTCTTTTTACACAAAGGCTCTCCTAACTTATGATTATTTTCTGAAAGTATTGACAGGCTTGTTTGGTCTCTTCCCTGTATCTTGATCACCTTTCTACTTAAGTTCTCTTTCAGAGTATAGAAATCAACAAATAAAGGATCCCAGTACTTTTGTATATGTATGTGTGTTGTTTCCTTATTTGTCTTACTAGATCTGGAATTCTTGGGAATCCCTTGAAATTTAATGCAAAATCTTAGTCTATTTGTTTAGGTGTTTTTCTGGATAGACTGCCCATATTTTCATCAGAAAGTCAAAAAGGATCCATGTCCACAAAGAGGCCAAGAACCATGTTCTTGAGGACTGAGTTCATATCTGTTCGTGCTCTCATAGTGCCCAGTAGAGTGCTATCCAGATAATGGGTTCTCAGTCCACAGTAATAGATGATTGTAGAGTGAGTGAGTGAACAGGCATCTTACATTCAGTCATTCTTAAACAATTACAGCACGCTTCATACGTGCTAGGTACTGTAAACAAGACCCATCCAGTTTCTGCTCTCATAGCGTCTAGTGGAGAGAGAGTAAATAAAAGCAGAGGCAAGTAAATTTAATTGCTGGAAGTCCTGTTGAATTGTGTGAGTGTATGTTTGGCTCATATCAGAAAATTACGTTTTTGCTGGGAAGGTATTTTAGCTTTTAAAACTTAAAGCCCTGGGCTGGTCTGTTCCTTTTTGTGTTGCTTCTGAGGGATCTTTGGGAAGGATGGAAGAGGTAATTGTGGTCTTTATTTTTCAACTTTGCATTCTTTACTAGCTGTTCACTTTATATTTACACGATTAGGAAGTAAACTTATTAGATGGTCCTAGTCCTTTAGACCATTCTGCTGCTACAGATACGTAAAGGAATGAGTTCCTTGGTTTGCCCTAAATCTTTGACTTAGGGCTCTGAAAGAGTGTATTAAGACTCCTTCAGGACTTCAACCCTGAAGTTCAGGGGAAGAGAATGACTTGGCCCTGAATACCAAGGATGGTATGGCTACAAGTACTCAGTATCTTTAGGACTCTGCCTCTTTGTTTCTCAGTAGGTGTTTCTCCGTGGGGCTGCCAGTTTGGCCACTGATACTGTATGAAAATCACTTTTACTGGTTTCCCTGGGGCCTGGACGCAGGCCTGAACAAATTATTGAGGCTAGTGGAGTGAGTATTTGGATTGCTTGGGCATGAGTCACAGTCACGCCGGTTTGTATGAGGAGTCTGTAGGAAAGTGCATGCTTGAGAGAAAGCACATGGGTGAGTATGAGGGTAGGAGTGTATAAGAGCCGGTTGACAGAAAGGGAGCCTGAATGTGTGTGTGTGTTTTCTTTTTGGTGAGGAAGATTAGCCCTGAGCTAACATCCGATGCCAATCCTCCTCTTTTTGCTGAGGAAGATTGGCCCTGGGTTAACATCTGTGCCCATCTTCCTGTACTTTATATGTGGGCCACCTGCCACAGCATGGCTTGATAAGCGGTGCATAAGTCCGCACCCGGGATCTGAACCTGCGAACCCTGGGCCCTCAAAGCAGAGCATGTGAACTTAACTATTGCGTCACCAGGCTGGCCCCTAAGAATGTGTGTGTGTTTTGAGGAGGGTGAGGGTTGGGTGTATCAACTGCATACAGACCACAAGGGATGAATTCTCTGTCACAGGAAAGGGAGGCTTATATCCATTTCAGAAGGGGATGCTGTTCAGACAGTAAAAATAGTTATCCTCTCTAGAGGGCAAAAGGGCAATACTTGGAAGCAGTTGTCACATATGACTTAGGTTGGGCTCTTGTGGTTGCAACAGAACTTTCAAATTACCTCAAGAGAAGGGAGATTTACCATAAACTTACTTGGATAGGAAGGCCATTGGGGATTAAGGTGGCTGTTGAGGATGGCCATGCTGTTTCTTTCTATGACATTCTCATAGTTCTCTCTCTGTGTCATTTTATTCTTTCTTTACTGACTGACTTCCTCTGTTTACCTGTAGATTCATCTTTTTAATTCTAGCTTGTACATGGATTTCTGTGTCCCTGGCTCTAAATATAGTATCTTCTACTCTCAGCTTCCCCATGAACTGGCTAATAGTGTTATACTTCTTTGCTGACTTTTGGGACATTCCTATTACCTGGCTTAGATTGGTTTTTTTTTGGAAAATGACAATCCGCTCTTCCTGGGAAGTGTCCCCTCTTTTGTTACAACCAGCTCTGGGTGGTGGTGAATGTGCCGTTTTGTTTTGTCGGGCCTACTGGAACATCCTCTTAGGCAGCAGGGATTGTGCATGGAGCTGTTTGCTCTATGA